TGAACTGAAACAAACCCTTTCCCTGCGGTTGCTTTTGGTGACACTGCTTTACCGCAGCAACAGAAACCCGAGACAGAGGTAAACTAACAAGAAGAACATAAACACTTAATAGTACTTATCTGTATTACGAAAGGTAAGGGGAAGAGGGAAACGGCCAGCCAGTCTGTGAAGTGCTTGCCAGATAATCACGAGGACCTAAGTGATTCCTAGCGCCCACATAAAAGGCCGGTGTGGCCCGATGGTGGCACACGCCTTTAATCCCAGCACTCGGGAGGAAGAGGCAGGCGGATCTCTGTGAGTTCGAGACCAGCCTGGTCTACAGAGCTAGTCCCAGGACAGGCTCCAAAGCCACAGAGAAACCCTGTCTCGAAAAACAAAACAAAACAAACAAACAAAAGAGGCCGGTGTGGCTGTATGCCTGTAACCTCAGTGCAGGGATGCAGACAGCCTCCCTAGGGTTTGCTGCTCAGAGGCAGTCTAGCTGAATCAGCAAGCTCAAGTGAGAGACCCTGTCTCAAAAAACAAGGTGGAGAACAATAAAGGAACATGTGGGACATCAATGTCTGGCCTTCACAGAACACACACACACACACACACACACACACACACACACACACACACACACAGAGGTATGTAATAAATTAATAATCAAAAGTATTGTGTAAGTAAGACTATTACATGCTAATTTAGAATGTGAGTTCCTTATTGCCTATTCTGTATCTGAGCATCAAATCAACTCTATATACAAAATTTACATGCTAAACTCCAGCCATAAAATTTGAGGTGGTTCTGCGTCTCCACCACAGATTATTACCCACCCGCATGTCTGCAGGATTTACAGCTCAATCGGTGATTTGTTACATGACTCCAGAAAGACAATTACCGTAATTTTCACATCCTACCCCTGGACACTTTCAAAAGACAGGCATCAGCATCATTTAGCTTCCTGTCATCTTAGTTTTAATGGCTCTTTGACTTTAGCATCACAGGGGAAATTCTGAAAATCAAAACTATTTCTAGATTAGATCTGTTGTTCTTGGCATCCACAGAGCAAGCCACTCCAAAATTACAGTAAAGTCAGCACTGGGTCATTCTACCTTTGTCTCTAACTCAGCAGTTGAGTCTATGCTTGTGGAAGCTGCTAAGGCAATTGTATAAAAAGTTGGACACTTTTGAAACAAGCAAGAGCTGAGTCACCAGAATGTACAATTTCACCAGTTGCCAAAAAAATCTAATTAGTTTTATTCAAATCTGTTCTATTTCTTACTCATATAAGGCACAATGCTTATATCAAAGAGATCAGTCTTGTTGAGGATAAAAAAATAAATATTAACCCTACTTTCCAATACTATGTAGCATATCATTGTTTTAGCTCCAATGTCATTACTATTATATCCCATACCATTGTTTTATATTCCAATTGTAAAGAGCAGAAATGTTAAATAAGTAAAATACATATAGTGGCTGTCTGAAATCAGGTAAGAAACACAAATAATCAGCATATTTAGGGATTCCCTCCTCCCTGGAAACTGCAGGTATTAATACTCGATGGACAATTTTACCATTAAAGCTGAAGGTACCAAGAGTACTCCTATCTGCACATCATAGCTGTAAATTAATTTTTACATTGTGTGCGCATGAGTTTATAAGCACTCATGCATGCACAGCACTCATCACTGAGTTCCTTGTGATATACTTGCACACTGACACTATAATGAAATAAAAATTTATGTTTTAAAGGCGCCTGAATTATACAGTGAGATTTTAAAAAAATATATCATTTACTCAGCCCATAGATAGAGATTTTTTCCTTTATCTGGCTGGGCCTGGGGCTGGTAATCCCAGCTACTTGAGAAAATGAATGAGGCAGAAAGATCACAAGTTCAAGGCCAGCCTCAGTGACCTTCTGAGTCAAAATAAACAGTAAAAAGAGGGGTTGGGATAACTCAATGGTAAATGCTTGCCATACAGGTGTGAGACCCTGGGATCAATACACAGCCACTTAACAAAATTACACAGCGCAAGCCCTTGAGGATGCCCTCACTTTTACACAAGGAGAAGAACTGCCAAATCTGTACATCTGATCTTACAGCACTTCCCACACACAGTATGACAGGAACTCGGATTACATGTTACAGTCTAGCTCAAAGGTCACCATTTCCCCAGAAAATTATGAATGAAAGGCTGAGGAAACCATACAAGTTTTCTAATAACCATATCCTGCAATGAATATTTAATTTGATTGTTTTTTTCTTTATTTCTCTACTTAATGGACTGTTCAGTGATTCCAGACTCAGACAGGCAAGGAGCAATTCCTTTGGCTCCTTTACTAAGCACTGGCCCCTGTATCAGAAAGTACTTAAGAATCAGTGAAAATAAAATCTGAGCCAAGAACACAAGAATACATAAAGCTTCTAACAAAAATAAAACTATGAAGTTAGGCTTAGCAACTAAGTGCAGGCCTTTCAGTACTATTAAGGCTCACTACTCATGTTACCTGAGCAACTGATGACAATTATAGAGAACTGGAATCAAAGACTTTCCTGTCAAAAAATTATGTCACTAACAACCTAAAACAGTCTCAGTTTTGTGCCTTTAAAGAATACAATACAACGTTAACATAAGGCAAACTACAAATTTTGGCACAGAATTCTTAAGCAGGCGTCCCATTGCTAGGTTGCCATTCATGTATGTCCCCCATGTCTATAGAAAAAAACCCACAGGATGATGCTCGTAAAGGGTGGGGGTGGGGTGGGCTCTAGGACAGTGGTAAATCCTCTACCTATCCTGTGTGAACCCTGAATTCAATCCCTTGGCAATGAGAAGAGTCACACAATTCGCAAACACGTGTGTTCTTGAAGATAGCTTTGAAATAAAATATTCTCCACATAATTAACTGAATACATTACCTTAGTACTGTAAATTTTATCTATAAAAGTCACTTTCTTTTTTACCTTGTATGTTGAACCTTGTGAAGATACGGGCACACCGTACAAACAATACTGTCTTTTCCCACAAATTCTTTTTTTTTTTTTTTTTTTTTTTGGTTTTTCGAGACAGGGTTTCTCTGTGGCTTTGGAGCCTGTTCTGGAACTAGCTCTGTAGACCAGGCTGGTCTCAAACTCACAGAGATCCGCTTGCCTCTGCCTCCTGAGTGCTGGGATTAAAGGCGTGTGATCGCCCGGCTCCACAAATTATTCTTACCAAAGACTCAGAAGACAAAATTGTTGTTGGTTGAGACACCAAAGAGTTCTAACATACAAAAACAACGTCACCATGAGGTTTTAAGTTACAGGGCTAGTGACAGGTCTGGAAAAACAGAGTGGCTACAAGTTGTTTTTCCGGTCCACATTAGGTCTAGGCTGTTCCCTGACTAAAGGACGAACTTATCCCCACTTATCTTCTGTCCTAGGAGCAGAAAGGTACTACAGTCCCTAAAGGTGACTTCCTGTCCTAGTTTCTTTTGACGACAAACACCCTCCCCCTTAAAAAAGAAATTAAAAAGCTTTTCTCCTCGTTTAAACTTGGTGAAGGAGGAAGCTAAGGGGTGCTGGGACGCCAAGTGGTTGCCCAGCCAACGAACCCACTTCCTCCAGAGGTCCGGAAGTGACACACAGCCCGGAACCTACGCTGAGCCGGGGTCAGCGACAGTCCCAGAGCAGTGCCCGTGCCTTGATTCACTGGGTGGGAAAGATTTGAAACAGCACCCCCACAACACTGACTCCGCCCAGGCATCTAATGCCCCGCCCAGCAGGTGCCCCGCGAGCACTCAGCTCAGTCCACCCCGGCCCCTGCGTGCAGTCCGCCGTGCCGAGGCCCGCGGGAGCGCGCGCCCCGCCCATACGACGTCACACCTGCAGGCCCCGCCCCTAGACCGGGGCCCTCCCCCGCCACACACACACCGACACGCTCACGTATACACACTCACACACATACAGACACACACTCTCTCCGCCCGGCCCTGCAGGGGACCCCTCCCCTTTAACCATTTGGCAGGAGCCAAGGAACGGCTGAGGCACCGGACGGCCCGGAACTTTCCCCGGGGCGAGAGGGGAGCACAGAGTGTCCCAGTCCCGCGCCACGCCGGGAGCCGGAGGGGGGGGGGGGGGACCGTCACCCAAGTCCACCTTCGCCGTCCTCTCGCCCCCTCCCCCCGCACGTTCCTGTGCATCTGCTCGCAGAGGGAGGGACCCGGCGGGCAGGGGCCAGCAGGCCCAGCACCCAGCCCAGCCCGCGCCTCACTGCACACTCGCCAGCCCGGGGCAGGACAAGCGTGCGGCAGCCCAGCCGACGGGCACCGGAACAAATGCTCGCTTAAAATGGCTGATTCCCGTCCGCGGCAGCTGCAGCCAGCAGCCCGGGATGCAGCAGCGGAGGCTGAGGGGCGGCTCTCGGAAGTCCCAGGCAGCCGCAGTCAGGACAGGGAGGGCCGCGAGGCCGGTCTGCAGTCGCCCCCCCTACCCCCGCTTCCCGGTTCCACAACACCGATCGCTCGCTGCACTTCCCCGACACTGTCACCCGAGAGAGAGAGAGAGAAAGTACCTTGGTATTTGTTGTCCAGCTCCCGCAGCACCGACACGTTCCTCTGCATGTCGTGGGGCAGCGACTCCACGCACTCCAGGTAGTCTTGCACGTAGCAGGTGAGCAGCCGGCTCCGCTCTCCGGTCAGGAGCGCGGCCGACGAGTACAGCTGCTGCTGCTGCCCTAACATCCTGGCGCCGCCGCTGCTGCTGCTGCTCCTCGCCGCCGCCGCCGCCGCCGCCTCCGCATCCAGCAGCTACACATGCAACAGCCACGACCGCCGCTCCTCCGCTCGGCCGCCCGGCGCCGCGGGGACACGGCCGCCGCTCGAGAGGGCACCGCCGAGTCCCCCGATCTCCACTCCCCCCTAAGAAGAAACCCTCACTCCCCGCCCCCGCGGGAACAAGCCCAGGGGCGGGGCGAGACCTGGGCACCCTCCGGCCCCCTCCCTCGCGGGGGGAAAAGAGAGCAGCGGGGTTCCCCGCGGCCGATGGCGCCGGGTTCCCGAGCGGTGACACGGGCTGTCACCCCGGGAGTCCCCAGACACTACCGGAGCTGCCCGGTCGCCCAGATCCCCGTGACAAGTCCCTCGTTGCCCTCTCTCCGCGCTATCAGCCTCGGTGCCTGCCGGAGTCTCAGTGGACTTGCCCCCGCCCCTAAGCCAGCGGCCGCGTCTGCGCCTGCGCGGCACTCACTCCTAATAAGGCCGGGGCCCCGCCCCTATCGCCCTACCGGAGGGTTCGCATTCTCCCGCCTTCCCTGCGCCACCCGGGCGATTGGTCTGTCAACTCTCGCCCGGGGTGGGGGGAGGGCGCGGAGGGTGGCCAAACGGCAGGCTGCGCCCCGCCCCCTCTTAAAGGGGCCGCATGGCTGCACCGACCCCTTCGCCCCAAGTCCGACGGTTGCCCCCGAGAGCCCAGGCGGCCGGGTTCCCGTTTCTGTACCCCACCGGGATGAGGGAGCGCCGGCCCGGCTCGCTCGACCCCGTGGCACCGACCTTGCCTCCATCTGGCGGATCCGGGATGCGCCTCCCTCGCGAGCCTCCGAGACTGCGAGCGGGGCCCCAGGGCGCTGCCGGCCGAGTGAGGCCTGCGGGAACTAAGGCGACCCAGGGTGCAGCGGGCGCGGCTCCGGGCATGCGCGGCGACTTCCCGCCGAGCGCCCAGCGGCCGTGGTCGGTCACCTCCGGCCGCTGCGGGCCTCACCGAGCACCGGGGGCTGACCGCGGAGGTAGGCGGTGCGCCCTGAGTCCCCGCCTGGCGTGCGGTCCCCTTCCCCAGCGCCGGGGTGGCTGGCAGGGTCGGCTCCCCTTCCCGAGCGCCTTGCATGTGTGGTTTAGGGAGAAGCTTGCAAGACTGTCCCCCCCCCCCCCAAACCACCTTAAGGAAACTTCAGGGATCGGGTCACTTAAGCATCAAACGCCGGCGAGGACCTGGCTTGGTCGCGGAATGAGAAACACGCTCGCGCGTACACGCACACACACACACACTTAGACTCACACGGCATTTTATTTTCACTCGGTTTTGTCACTAACAAGTAGGTGAGCAGTGCAGATGGTATTAAAAATCCAAAGAGCCAGCGAGTGCGGTGCTTTCTGTGTGAGCGGATTTTCAGGCTCACTCTCCGAGTTGCTGTCAGTGAAATGCCAGGCGGAGGAGCGAGTTGTAATCACGGCTCCACTTCCGGGATGTATATAAATAAGTGAGTTTTATTTTTTAAAGAAACCGGTGTAAGTAGAAGGAGTCCTCTCCAAATTTTGATGAAACGCCCCCCTCCCCCCAGTAAGCCCTATTGGGAGCAGAGTATTTGAGTGAAAGAAAATGAAGAGTACTAAGTTTGGGTCCCCTTGCCTGGTTTGCAGCGCTGTACCTGTTGCATGCCCAGTTCAGAACACTTCCGACTAGCGGTGTGTGCTAAGCAGCTGTTGACATACTAGTGAAAATCTAGGGCTGGTCTGGAGGATATTTTGAATTTCATAACACACAACACGTAATTCCGCGTCCCGAGGACAAGGGCGATATTGTAAAGGACTGGGAACGCTTCGTGTGGTCTTTTAACTCGGGGATTTTGACCCCTCTATTATTAAAAGTCAACCCAGGCCAAAAAACAAAAACAAACAAACAAAAAACCAGACAATTGAATTTCTGACGACTTGGGCGAATTTTCTGTCTGCAAGTCTTTAAATCTTTCATATTGAAAATCATCATTGTTAAGAATTGAAGGTGACTTAGGTTTTGTTGTTGTTTATTTAGTTGGTGGTTTTGTTTTGGATTTTGCCAGAACTCGATGTTTGTTGCTCACAAATTTGATTCAGCTAATCCCCCTGCAAGATCGAATTAATGCAAGACGCAGTGTTTCTTTTTTATTGGAGTCAGGCACTGGGGACCTATGGATTTTATGCAACCTGCTCACTGCACACACCAGGCCGACTACGATGTGTGAGTCGGTGATGCAGAATTCCCAAATTCGACAAAAACAACAAGAGCTGGGAATCAAGAAAGGATTTGGAAAGCATTCTTGTTGTGTTTCCACTAGGACGGGTATATGAACTTCAGATACAATAACGTGTGAATGGCCGCAGCTGTACTTTTCTTGCTATTTGTATTTACACTGGTAATCTCATCCTGGCCTCCTTCTGCTAGCAGCCTGTGTGGGGAAAGCTCTTGCCTGGGGATGGCAAGTGGGCATAGTTCCTCAACCCAACTCCTGGCCCTAGTTAATTTATCATTGTCCTTTTCTTCTAAGTAGCCAGTCATGTGGCCTCTTCAAATTGGGTTGTTTCCTAGCCCTTCCACATGCAGAATTTAAAAAATCCCCACTCTCTACAATATAGAAATTGATCATATTTAATTGTGGTGGGGGGAGGTATTTTTCTTTGGTCTTCTGTTCTTTTTTTTTTTTTTTCTCTCAAGACAGGGTTTCTCTGTAGCTTTGAAGCCTGTCCTGGAACTAGCTCTTGTAGACCAGGCTGGCCTCAAACTCACAAAGATCTGCCTGCCTCTGCCTCCCGAGTGCTGGGATTAAAGGCTTGTACCACCACTGCCTGGCTTCTGTTCTTTTCTTATACTGACCTTGAAAATGATAAACAGCTGATGCCCCCAAGTTAGTGTTCAATTGACTTTAAATTACTGGACTAAATCTAGTATATACCATTCATTAGGCCCCTGATGGGAAATGTCTCCAAGCCTATTTCCTTTATAATAAAACATTTCTATCCTTTGTTAATATTATATGAGAGGAACAATCTCAACTAATTAAAAGCAAACTAGGAAGAAGTTCTTAGGGAAAAAAAATCAGCTTCTGCTTTAAATCAAGCCAATTAAATTAGAAAATCCTTTCTTCTACTGTTTAATTTTTTATTTTTTTCCTTTTTAAAGTTTTGTAAGTGTCTTCCCTGCGTGGATGTTCATCATGTACATACCTGGTGCTCAAGGAGGCCTAAAAGGGTGTCGGACCCTGTGGGACTAGAATTTCAAACAGTTGTAAGCCACCGTGTGAGTTCTGGGGACCAGCCCAGATCCTCTGTAAGAACAAACAGCAAGAGTTCTTACTCTCTGAGCCTTATCTCCAGCCCTGAATTTTTTTTTTAACTTTTTGGATTTTGCTTTTTAACAGTGCTTCTTAGGTTAGTATACAAAGTAAAGGGTTTCATCATGCCATCCTCATATAAATGTGTCACAGACCAGGCTGGCCTCAGACTTGAGGGTGTCTTGGTGTGTCTAGCTCCCAAGTGCCGGAAGTACAGGCTTGTGCTACTGTGCACAGTGTGGCCTGGATTCTAATTGTTCTTAATGATAAAAACCCGGAGTTAGATATTAGGTCACTGGAGAGACCTTTTACCTCTTCCAAATCCTCAGACTGAAAAAGCGATCCTGTCTCTGCCAAACCTCAGACTGCACTGAGCTCCCATCTCTTCCTGCCTTATATTCCTCTCTCCACCCATCCATATCACTCCTGTCTCCACCTCCCTAGTGCTGGGATTAAAGGCCCGTGATCCCAATTTGGGGATCACCTTTGTGTGAACTCTGTTTCTCTTTTAGACAGATTCAATCTTGTGTAGCTCAGGGTAGCCTTGAACTAACAGAGATAGATCTCTCTGCCTCTGTCTCCTGAGTCCTAGAATTAAAGGTATATGTCACCACTCCCTGGCCTCTCATGGCTTAGTTCTGCACTCAGATCTTCAGGCAGGCTTTATTTGTTAAAACATAAACAAAATATCACTACAGCCCAGCTTAATGTTCTTAAATATTTTTATGATGAAAACTTCCAAACACAAAAGTATGTATACCGTCCACCCACGGTCAACATTGTCATTGTGTTGTTTAATCTATAACCCTTGTTCTTTTTTAACCCTCAGTGGATTGTTAAAATCTTATGTGAGAGGCTCTAGAGTTGGCTCAGTGGTTAAGAGCACTTACTGCTCTTGGAGGACCTGGGTTCAATTCCCAGTACCCACAAGGTGATTCACAATCACCCCTAGCTCCAGTTCCAGGGCAATCTGACTCCCTCTCTCACCTCTGTGGGCAACAGGCATCGATGGGTGCACCTACATTCATGCAGGCAAACACTTATACACATAAAATAATTTTTAAAAATTTTAAAGGCAGGACCTCTATAAGACCCCTGAACAGTCAGCCAAAGTGTTTAGTGTCTTAGCAGTCTAGGGTCCCTTGCTGTATCCCTACTTCTACTTTCTGCTCAAATTCCCCTCAGTAAAGTCTTGTATAAATGATGTGTAGAAAAAGAATTGCTTGTTATGGAAATTTGGGGAATATATCTCGTGGTATGTGTTGGTGGCTCACAGTCATCTATAACTCTAATCCCAGGGGGAGCCAGTGTCGTCTTCTGACCTCTGTGGTACCAGGCACCCACATGGTGCACATATATATGTGCAAGCAAAATACCCAACGTGTGCAATAAAAAAACTTACATGAAAATACTTTATGAACAGATAAGAGATAACAAGATTTTAGACATACATTGCTATTACCCTAACTCATTTTTTTTATAATTTAAATTTTCGTGTTTATCTCCTGTCTCATTTAATCTTTCCACATTTGATTTAACAGAATACAATCAAGCCTCAAACATTTCATTTGGTTAGTGAGGTCTTTCCCAAACAAGTAAGAGCAGTTAATTCCTTCTTGAGTTTAATGAAACGGCAGTGTTTTTCTGATATTTGGATGGTTGAAAAGCACTCTTAAAAACATGGGGAGAAATTACTGTAAATAAAATCTCATATCAAAAGGTCACCAAATCTGGTGTGGTGGCATACTTCTTTAATCTCAGCACTTTGGAAGCACAAACAGGTAAAAGTCTGTGAGTTCAAGGTCAGCCCCTTTCTACTTAGGGATTTCCAGGCCAGCTACACAAAGAGGCCTTGTCTTCAAAACATAATAAAGGCAGAAGCCGGGAGGTGGTGGCGCACGCCTTTAATCCCAGCACTCGGGAGGCAGTGGCAGGCGGATCTCTGTGAGTTCGAAACCAGCCTGGTCTACAGAGCTAGTTCCAGGACAGGCTCCAAAGCCACAGAGAAACCCTGTCTCGAAAAAAAAAAAAAAAAAAAACATAATAAAGGCCACCAGTTGACAACTTTCCATAGAAATGTATTTGTACCTAATGCAAACGAGTCCTTGAAATCTCGAAGTTTGTATTAATTTTAGAGATAATTGTTCTGGATGGTCCTGTGAAGATTTTAAATTCTCTCGAAAAGCCCAAAACTTCATCACTACAGAAAACAACCAATAAACTTGCGAATTAATGATCTCCACTAAGCTCAGTTTTTTTTTTTTTCTTTTTGGTTTTTCGAGACAAAGTTTCTTTGAACTAGCTCTTGTAGACCAGGCTGGCCTCAAACTCACAAAGATCCACCTGCTTCTGCCTCCCGAGTGCTGGGATTAAAGGCGTGAGCCAACACAGTCCGACTGAGCTCAGGTTTTTTTTATTATTTATTTATTTATTTATTTATTATGTATATAATATTCTGTCTTTTTGTATGCCTGAAGAAGAGGGCACCAGACCCCATTACAGATGGTTGTGAGCCACCATGTGGTTGCTGGGAATTGTACTCAGGACCTTTGGAAGAGCAGGCAATGCTCTTAACCTCTAAGCCATCTCTTCAGCCCCCTGAGCTCAGTTTTAAGACATGTTAGTTGCTTTATAAATACAGCTAACATACACTAGTTAATTAAAAAGAATATTTATATAAAAGTCTTCACCAACTGACAAAA